TGCTTGTTAGAGACAAATCAAACGTGATTTGATCTGATTTATTATTTCCACTCCATAAACTCCTTGTTTAATCGCGGCTCATTAATTGTGCAGCTCATCCGTGTTGCACTAGATGAGTTGAATGAATCATTGTCCTGTGGATGTTTGTCTCCACCAATCAGAGCGGTTTCTGTCACATATACTATAGAAATCTGACCTTGTGATTCTTCACTGACGCGACTTCAGTCTTTATCATATATTGATCATATGTGAACGATAACTCCGACCCTGCGACTGCTGTGGCTCTCCAGGTTCACGTCTCCTCACCTTTCCGTGGTTATCGACACCAGTCAGCGCCAGAGACGTCCAGGAGAACTGAAGGGCCTTGAAGTGGAGCGCAGGACCTCCGGTTCTCTGTCGCTTGATGGCGGACTCGTCTCCGGGTCGCTGACTGGATGAGGAGGAGGAGCCGTAGAAAACGCCCATGGTGTGAAGAGACAGACGGTGGAGGATCTGAATACTGCCATCATGAAAAGCCAGAGCCAGACCTGAACACAGGAGAGTCACGTTTCAAACACACTGAACGAATAAAGATCCACATTCACAAAACATCTGCGTTACAAACGTTACAACAGAGCCAATCACACGCAGACGTTAAAGTCTGGACATTTTCTGGAACTTTTCCTGGTGCAGTGTGTAAACACAGGTGGAGTCTCCTCACCAAGTCCGGGACAGAACTTGGTGTCTGACGCCACCTTCAGGTCGGTGTTGGAGATGGAGATGGGCAGTTTGGGCAGAGCGACAGCTGAGACTCGTTCCAGGTCGTTAGTGGTCGTCAATATCCTCCACTTCAAGATGGTGGGCTGCTTCTCTCCCACTGACAAACGGGGGGGGGGGGTGTAAGCATTAGCTCGTCATCTCTTCACATCAGAACCAGCGTTGGTTTGTTTCTTACCAACTGGTGAACGATGCTGGAAGATGTTGTTGACAGGAAGTCCCTCCTTCCTCAGAGACCAACACTCTACAATACTGCCGCTCTGGTTAGACGCACAGAGGAGAACCTACACACACACACACACACACACACACACA